GTGATGGTGCTTAGGAAACATCCCAGTCCTTCTTTTTCACCCATTTGTCTACTTATAAATTCATTTATTAAAGAAATAATAAATGATTACTGTATTTGGCACTGTAGAGTCAAAATGACTGACTACATGGTCATAACCTCCAAGATCTCACTTTACTGAGCAAAATATACAGATTTTTTAAAGTTATCTCAAAGAGCCTAAGTTATGTGATGCCAGAAGGCATAGCATGCTCTGGTTGCCCAGAGGAGAGGAAGAATACATTTCAAAGACAGGAAAACCTTCACTGGTGAGACAACCAATTTTACTGGGTTTTGGGGCATGAGTAAGAGTTTACCAATATTTTTGATCCCCATTCCTTGCCTTTTGAAAATGATTCAGCATGTAATTAGAAAAATTCAAAATACCTTTCACAAGTTGAGTCTCCTTTACATAAGTTAAAATATTTAAATAGTTTCAATGGGTTTCCTTAGGTCATTCAAAAGAATGTAAGAAAGGCAGTTTGTTCTAGAGGGAAAGTATTAGAGTTCTTCAGGCAGTATAGAAAAAGAAGAGGACCTTTCTCTCAGAGAAGACTGGGTGCCAGTTTGGCTATTGTAGGTTTTGTTTGGCTAGGGTTCATTCTTACCAAAGTCTAGTTTCCTCAATGTCAGAGAAGTCGTCTGAAGAGTCTAAGGAATACATCAAATCAAGAGAAGGTGAGATTCTTAAACAAAATGGTATTTTGCTTTTTATGTTTCTTTTATTCTACTAACAATTTGTGCGATGTTTCTTGTTAGAAAAGGGTAAAGTCCTTCTATGGATCTGCTAAACAAGAACTCTAAACGACGTGGCGATCATGTTTTATTCAAGTCTTTAGTGGTTTGTAGTGGGCTTTGCAATGTAGGTTGTAAATAAATGTAGGTTGACCAAACAGGAAGCCCAAACCCAGCTAGCTGCTCCCTTTCAGGTTTTATGTCCCTTTCCAGACAAATTTGCCTACTCTGCCACCTACTGGCAGGAGGAGACATCGTTGGGCTGAGCTTAGCCTGAGCACTCAAACCTAATTCACATGAAGATTATTAACTAAGAAACTCATGGTGATCCCCTCCACTAGATGTGTGATCAGTCAGAAGAAGAAAATATTGATAGTAAAGGAGAGTTTTGAATTTGGAAAACTAACAGAGCAATTACTTCTCTGAGCATCACATTTACAGAACTATTTCGAACATCTTCATCCTGATTTTTTCCTCCAGTATGTGCTTCAGCCTCTATGAATCTTAATGTCCTTTCCTACCAAAAGGAGACAAGGATATCTTCACTGGTCAACTCACAATACATTTTGGGGACAAATAAGATAAAGATGAATTATCACCATGAATTTTCTCCTTTAATCCTCTTAACACCCCTCTCAAAACAAACAAACGAATCCTTTGAAAAGGCTATTATATTTATTTGTCTCATTTGCCAGAGGAGATGACGGAGTCCCAGATAGGTGATTCTCCGTGATATGTAAGTCGATTTGAAAAGACAAATCACAGATCTGGCCTTAAGGTTAGAAGAGAATTCTTAAAGACAACCCCCAACAGAGATGATATAGATAGATGATAGGTGGGAAAGGTAAAATTATTTGGGAAGAGGGTTTGGGAGGAGAAAGGGAATCATTGGACTATCAGAGAGGAGCAAAAGAGACATTTCAATGTAATATGTGAGTTCTAACATAATCAGCCAACCCTCATAATGAGATGCGTCCTTGCAGAGGAATGCCAACATCTCTCCTGATTTACACATAAAAGAATTTATTGTTATTCTTGCCTCTCTAAAGCAATGTAAGATGAACAGGATCAGTGGCAATATATTGTGCTCTCCTCACAGTTTAATGCCATTTCAGGCTATTAATAATTTATAAAAACAAGTAAGAACGTCCAGTATCAGTTGAAGCTCTAATCCCCTCAAAGTAAAGAATAGCTCCTAGGTTACCATTTCCCTTGCAAATATAACTCAAGTAATGGCAATTTGCAGATGACCCTAACTTTCCTCTTCAGCAGTGACAGGAGAGAGCCTGGCTGGGCATATGTGGGAGAATAACCCCAGGTGTACTGGTCAGTCCCATTTCTTCATTAAGTTTACAAGCATATAGGGCAAGGAGTACCAGGTGACAGTAAGATGATCCTCCCTCTTCAAGGGTGAAAGGAAATTGGAGATAAAACCGCCCTATGAACATTAAAGTACAAAATCAACCCATCAGAATGGATAGGTAAAGTCCCTTGAAGGAGCCTCCATGGCGTCTATGCCATTGATACATACTCATTGTGTGTAAAATTGTAGCATTTCCAGAATATCTCGCCTGGCTTTAGTGCATTTGCATATCCTCAGGGGTGGAGAGAAGTTCATCTCCGTATCATTGGGTAATTACCTGGGCAACCGAGGGCGTGTCTGAACCTGAGAGGATAAGGGGAGGGGGCTGGCTTGCTTGCTGGCTGGCTTCTTCCAGAGCAAAGGAGAAAGAGATGGCCCGGTTCTGCAGTTTGTGAGCAATAAATGGGTTTTAAACTTTATTTCTCCCTTTGACTGATACGGTTTTTAGAGTTATTTTGCCCTGGGATTTCCTTTCCCTGGACTTACACTCATTCACCCATTCATTTGTGCATTTGTAAATTTAAAAGACAAAATGTGTCTCTCTGAAGGGAGAGTCACTGGCAATAGAAGGCTAGAAAACCAAGCGTTTCTAAGATAAATATGTATGGTGTTCCTCATGGGGAGCAGGAAATCTGTCCCAAAGACCCCGAGCTGTCTAGTCCCAGTGGCACTTCCACCTTATCATGGAAAGAGATGCATCAGGTCCCTCCAACATATGATTCACTGGAGTCTCTCTCCTTGTCATACATCACAGAATCTAAGACTCAAAGCGCCAAATCAGAGATGTACTTTATTTTATATATTGGTAAAGAAGAAAAAACAAGGTGCCATTACACTGTGCTATAGCTTTTGAGTTTGTTACCTGGACAGTTGACTTACCCCTTCTGCTAGACTGCAAGATCTTAGAAACCAAGGACCAGTTGAGATTCATTTTTATTTTACACGAAAGCAAAGTGCTGGTTTGGGCTTTATTTCGTGCATCTTCCTGCTGCCCACCACCATCCCAAAATCTACTCTCCACTTCTCCACTTCTCCATGCTGTGTTTAACCCAGAAGACTAACCTGGAGGCTGCCTCAGCAGTTCTCAAAGCGTAGTCCCCAAGACTCTGGGCCTCCATAAGACTTTTACAGAAGGTACACAAGGTCAAAACCACCTTTTTAACTGTATTAGCATTTGAACTGATGGTACAAAAGCAAAGGAAGGCTCCAACTGCTGCAGCCTGAGCAGGAATCCAGAAAGTGGCACCAACCTGTACTGGTAGCCATCATAATCTTCCCTTGCCAAGCACCTCAACTTAAAAAAATGCCAGTTTCATTTAAGAATGTCCATGATAAAGCGGCAAAGGCAGTATTAATTTTATTTAATCTCAGTCTTTACATCCACATCTTTTTAATACTCCATGTAATGAAACAGAAGTATGCATAAAGCATTTTTGCTTTATACGAAAGCATGATGGTTGTCTCAAGAAAAGATAGTTACAGAATTGTTTGAGCTGCAAGCTGAGTGTCTCCTTTTCTTACAGAACACCATTTGGAAAAAACATCAATAGACAAACTATGGTTATTCAGATTTTTGCAGGTATTTTCTCAAAAATAACACAAATGGGTCTGTCCCTTCAAGGAGAACAATACAATTTTGCCAATGATAAAAATTTGAGCTTTCAAGCAAATACTAGAATTTTTAAAATTTATATCGGCTACTGTAAGATTCACAATTTCACAAAGCTTAAAGGTATTTTCAGATGAGATCAGTGATGATATTAACAAATGTGACTTTTTTACATTGAATATTAAAATGTGTCAGTGTTTGGTAGATCTGCATAATTCACTGGACCAGTATTTTCCAAATGACCAAAGCATAAAACAAAGTGATGCATGAGTAAAAGGTCCATTCAAAGCACAAAATAGACTGTGAATTTTAATGTAACCTAGTACAAAAAGTTCATTGATATAATTTCAGATTTCACAGTTCACTAACCTTTAAAAAACTACTTAATGAGTTTTGGTATATTATTAAAGAAGAATAACTATGATTATTTGAAAAGATACTTAAAATACCCCTTCTTTTTCCAAATGCATATCTATTGGAGGCTAGACTTTCTTTATACACTTCAACCAAACCAATATATCACAACGTTTTGAATGCAGACGATAGTATGAGATCTAGTCGTCTTCAGTTAAGCCAAACATTAAAGCGGTTCTCCAAAATGTAAGACAATGCCATTCTACTCACCATTTCTTGAACTATATAACTGTGTTTCATTAAAATGTGTTTGTTGTATTAACATGCAATAGGTTTGTTGTTTTGAAATTGAATTAATAATGGTTTTAGTTTCTTACATTCCATTTCTAATATGGTATGGGAAATATCAAAATATATAAGCTACATAAACAGAAGCTCTTTGGGGTCCTCAATAATTTTTGTAGTGGAGTTCTGAGACCAAAAAGCTTGAGAACTGGTAGATTACATAAATGGATCCTCTTACATCTAGCTTCCAAGTGGGGTTGACCAGTGGGGGAGCTCCGGCAGATCAGAGAATGAGAGGGAGAAGTGAAGAGATTTATCCCCCAGCTCCCTCCCTGCAGAGCCACTTGGGCTCACTGTGTTTCCTCTCCTTGCATTCCCCACCCATAGGCCCTGTCTGCTGACTCTCCCTCTGGCTTCTCCTTGCATCCTCTGCCCTTGGGTCCAGCAGTGGCAAAGTCTTTGCTATTTTTAGCCTCAGGTCACAGACCTATCCCACCACCCCTGTATTTCTCTACCACATGTTTAAAAAGTCTCTTGTTTAGTCTCAACTCATAGGAACTGATTAGGCATTTTTATCTTGTACACATGCAAACTGAAAAATAGAAGTGAAAATAAATTGTTTGAAATTTCTCCACAGTACAAACCTGGTTCTTCCTAATCACTTTTTGCTTCAGAGTCACTGAAATTCTTCTTTACCATCCCCTGTGCCATCAAGGTCATGGTGAGTACACATTTCTTAAAAGACTTACCCAGATTTGTCTCCAGATTTTCTCCCAAGGTGCTGACCCATTTTGTAAGTTTTGATGCTAGAGCTTTTGATTTTATGTGTATGCAAATTTTAACAAGCCACATCTCGATTGCTGTCTCGCCAGTATGATTGCAAAATATTTTGTCTACATATACCATAAGTTCGGAGTTATTAAAATGTGATAATATATGTGCCTTGGAATTAATGGAAAATGATAGTTTCATTCCATGCTCAGCAAGCAACCTCCTAATTATTTGGCTTCACATGAAGCATCGCCTACTCTCAAATGCTTCCATTATTGCAACATTGGTTCTTTCATTTCACAGCTGCTTTAAAAATCAAAGTCAACTTGCAAAATTAAAAGGAATTTTGGCATTCCTGACTCTAGCGGGAAAAGGGAATTACTAGTCCATATCTCAGTCACCAACTGCTTTGGCATGTTTTAACAGATAAGCCGAACTTTCAGTCTAGGGCTTTTTCACTCCCAGGAAGACAGGGTTCCCTTGGGCTTCAAGGGCACCTGGCCCTTTATGGTGAGATCATATGAGTCCCCTGTCCCAGGCACAGCTCCAGGCCTCTAAGCAGGTTGCTCAAATCCTCAAGTATCCGTAGATAGGAATTTCTTGCTCCCTCCCCCCTAGTTCTGGGATAGATTCCACAAGAAGATTCTCTCTATATTTTTCTGTTTTGCCTCATCTTTACTTTTGACTCTCTCCCCTTCTTTTTTTTTTAAACAATATGTCATTCTTAATAAAACTGCTCTGCTTAATAAAATTGACCCTGTTTACTTCAAGACTACTTTTCCTAATTAGCTTGCAGTTGCTGCTTTTTGCAACGTCAGTCACCTCTTTTCCAGATCCCACTATATCTAATATGCAAAATCTTCGTTTTCTCGTTTTTGTCAATCCATTCTGGTCCATCAAAAAGTCATCATGCACAAAGTGATCAAATCATAAACAAGCATCATCAATATGCTTTTCATCCACAACAGAAACACTCTTGTCATTGTGTATAAATTCACTCTTCATATATAGTAAAGTGAGGAATGTGGTATAGTGCACATTTAGTTCAAGACAAAGCAAAATTGTTTTAACATTTATTCAGTGTTTACCAGGCACCAGGCATTATTATGCTGAGAACTGTGCACGATGTTATCATATAACCCTAAAACCAACCAACCACACGACTAATAATAAGCCCTGAGGCTTACAGAGATTGATAATTCATCCAGAGTCACAGATAATAACAGGTCCAGCAGCCAAGACTGAGTATGAGTTTCTGGCCTCAGAACCTAAACTCTAAGCTAGCTTTCTTTCTTTCTTTCTCTTTCTTTCTTTCTCTTCCTTCCTTTCTCTTCCTTCCTTCCTTCCTTCCTTCTTTCTCTTTCTTTCTTTCTTTCTTTTTTTGTAACTGCTTTATTGAAGTATTGTTGATTCTCTCTCTCTCTCTCTCTCTCTCTTTCTTTTTTTGTAACTGTTTGCTTTCTTTCTTTCTTTCTTTCCTTTCTTTTTTGTAACTTTGCTTTATTGAAGTACTGTTGATTCTCTCTCTCTCTCTGTCTCTCTCTCTCTCTCTTTCTTTTTTTGTAACTGTTTGCTTTATTGAAGTATTGTTGACATAAAATCTTATATTGGTTTTAAGTATACAACACAGTGGTTCAACAGTTACCCCATATTATTAAGTCCTCACCCCCACTAGTGCAGTTACTATCTGTCATCATGGGAAGATGTTACAGAATCTTTGGCTATACTCTCCATTCTGTACCACCATCCCTGTGATGAACTTACATTATGGTTGAAAATGTGTGTGCCCCTTTATCCCTCTCACCCTCCTCACCCACCCACCCCAACCAGTAGGTGGTAACCACCAGTCATTTCTCAGTGTCTCCGAGTCTATGTTATTTTGTTCATTTTGTTTTGTTTTGTTTTTAGATTCCACCAATAAGTGAAACCATAGGGTATTTGTCTTTCTCTGCCTGGCTTATTTCACTGAGTATAACACCCTCTAGATCCTTCCTTATTTACTGAACACCCACTTTGGGCAAGACCATGATCCAGGCACTTCGAGGAAGAAGAGCAGGGGAGATGTGATCCCACCTCTCAAGCAGCTCCCCTACCAGCGGGGGAGACAGACACGTATATAATAACACTAGCGCCCAGTAGATGCATTCTGCACTCAGTGAGATCCAAACCAAGCACTGCCAGAGCACAGAGATCCAGCCAAGGACACAGAGGAGGGCTTGGAGGAGGAATGGGCATTTGAACTGCACTTGAGCGATGGGTAGAATATAATGAGAAAGCTCTTAAAAGGAACAGGAAGTAGGCTGAATGCCTAAGGGTCTAGGGAAGGGAAGAAAAGGAAGCTGAGAAAGAAAGTTATTTATTACCACCTGTCACTACTTGTGATTCTGCTTCTTACATTCATAATCAGTCCATCAGTCCAAAGTCAGAGTTCAGGAAGGACAGCCCACCCCTCAGAGCAGCCCATTGGGTAGGTGGGTTAGCTGCTTGGTTCCCCACCAGCTGCAGCTATGCCCTGGGGCCAGAGGCTGGCAATGAGTTCCTCAAAGACTTCTCCTGTCTGTCCACCTGCCATCCCCTCTCCCCTCACTTCAGCTCACACTCGGGCTCTCATTTCATTCTTCACACTTGCTCAGTCTGAAAGAGGTGGACTGAGCTGATGGTGGAGTTGTCGCCACGACTGTCAGAACAGGGGGTGGGGGGCAGGGGCTGCAGGATCCCTGGGACTAAGGGTTAAAGAAAGACAAAGACAAAGAAAAAAACACCACCACCAGACAGCCTCTGGGCAAATTTGACTCCTCTCCTCAGCTGGCAGAGTATTTAAAAGGTTGGCATGCCTCGGGCGGGGCAGGCACCCTCCAGTCCCACGGTACCCACCTTGATTTTGTCACCCAGCGCTTCATATGCTTAATTCCTCACAGACTTCCTCAAGCCTCTGAAGTCCTGATTTCTGAACTGATCAAAACTTGACTTTCAAAGTAAAACAACAAATATAAAAAAGCCTTGATCAGGATAATACAGTTAGTTAATACCAAAAATGAGAATTAAAGGCTAGAATTTCCTCTTATTCCAATGATTTTCCCAGCTACACTGTACCTATCAAACTTGTCAGTAAAGTTGGATTTGCAGAGAAATCTTAACACAATATTCAGGTGACCATAGATCTTATACAAAGAATCAGCAAATATATATACCTCTGTTGTTTTGCTTATGTAGACTTGCCACCCTATTGACAGCAGTCATTTAATTTTGTTTATTGAAATCCAGCTATATCCCAAAAAAGATTTTACATTATTTTGCAAAGACATATAAGATTCATTAATAATAACAAATTAAAGGTACATGATAAAGAGGAAGCAATAGTAAGGATATGGGGCTGATTTAAAACACCTGTCATGAAGTACTATTTGCTGGCCATAGGAAAGTGGGACATTTGCCTCCAAATTTTTAAACAGTTCATGTTTTTCTATGTTTATAATTCTGCTTCCCAAAGATAAAATCAAACTCACTGCCAAGACAATAAATAATACTTTTTCATAAAGCCAAAAATTTCACTGGCATTTTATAATATAATGAACCCAACCCTCAAACCCTCCTAGATGTTTGTGATTTTCATCTGATGAATACAGAGCATAATTTATTTAGGTTACACAGTGACTCCTAACTTGTGTACAACAAGTCCCTGGAAAAACTGAGTTTTTTTTCCAAGGGTCCCACAGGTAGTGCCCATAAATTTATTTCATGAATAATTGTCTCACTTATCAAAAAATGTTCGAATATGTATAGCTGCTATTGTGGTTATAAAATACTTTTAATTTAAATTTGGCAGGATTCACAGAGGCTTATTTTCTCATTCTGTATTTGACAATAGGCACAAAAGTACAATTATTGTCATGAGGTCATGGTGGGCCAGGGGTTCCACATGACATTGCAGTGTGGGAAAGAACATCTTCAAAGACAAAACCAATACAATATGGTCACCTGCAGCCACCAGTGATTCAGGCTGGTCACTGCCAGTGTTGTACCAGTCGGCAAATATCAACATGCTTGTTTTTAATAAATATCCATTTTATTATCTCCCTTGTTAAAAGAAATTGGGAAGCACTCATCTGGAGGACTTAATAGGTTGTGTAACCCATGAGCCCTTCTCTATCAATATTTTTTTCATGACTAAGAGTTTGAACAGAGCAAAAGAAATTTCAGATTCGTAATCCTGGACAACTGCCTGGCTTGGGCACCTTCTTGCTACTTAAATTTGAGATGAAATGTTTTAACTTGTGGCTGAGCTTGCGGATTGGTTGACACCCTTTTTGAAATTTGAGAAGCTTGTCACGGATATACATCTCATCTCCATTCTGAGAAGGGATTCAGACACTATAGGGGAACAAAGGTGAGTTTTTATTCCTCTTCATACCTGCATCCCTCTACCTTAACTCCACAGACTAAAAGGCAATTCCTATTCCAGAAGGATCCAAATAGAATGACCAAAGCTGCTCAACCTAGAATATTTCACAGCCAAATGAATCCAAATGGCTGATCCACATTTTAAAATATCATTCATGGACTGCCTTATGTTTGAGGTGTGTTATTTCTTGCCATTTCCTTCATGAAAAACATGTGCTGGGAGCACTGAGGTGACTTGCTATGTGAAATTATTGAATATGAACTAGTTAAAAATTAGGTGCTGTCTGCAAAACTGTTTTCATTTTGGCATACCCAGTTTGTAGTCTTTCTCTCTTGTCTTATTTAGATGGCATGTGAAGTTTTCTACTTAAGATCACTCCTAGATCATGATACTGAAGACACAGTAGCCTTATATGAAAGAATGTTCATCCCAATGTGTTATCAGATGATAAGAAACTAATTAAAATGCAGGAAAGTCAGGACAGAGCCATGCTTTATCTCACTGGAAAAGCTTGCCTATTTGATTAAGGAGCACCCCTACTCATTTTG